TATATTTGCTTATAATTTTCTCAAATTTTCTTATATTCTGTTTTATTTTTTGTTATTTTTTCAAAATGTTCAACAATTCTGATATATTGCATATGTAGTCATAAATAATGTATTAGGAAAAACTTAATTCGGTGTTTTGAAAAATATTTGACATAAATATATTTTACAATATTAATATTATTAGAATTTCAATTGGTAAATCTAGAACTACAACAACATTTTAAAGCATATCCTTTTAACTTGTCTGAATCTTGTGAGTTGATGGCGAAAACTGTAACTCAATTGAAAAATTGAATCACAAACACACAACTCGAACCAATGTTCATAAAACAAGGATCCACTTCTCATAAGCAAGAGTCTCAAAAACAGAAAGCTCCATCAAGAATGAGGAGTAGTTTAAGAATTACAAAGAATTTTCAGAGAACCAATGGAGAAGAAGAAGATAACAATCTCAACAACAAATTTTCATGAATGATCCAAATTCTGTTTTGCTTCCCTTTAACACGATTCTCCACTGCTTTTGTGCTCCAAATTATCTCCACCGTCGATCTCAACTTCTAATATCTATCATCCATGTGTCCCGCACTTCTTGACCATTCTTTTACTATATAAAATCCTTCCCTCCCAAACAACCATATCCTCATGGTTGAGAAGATGGATGTCCCTGCAACAAATCACAAAGAAACTCCCAAATAGTCTCTATTTCAATGGAGTTGCATCTTCGACTAAAAATCCTCCAAGATCCCCAACTCGGTTGTCAAAATTTTGCGAATATCGAGCCTTCCAACGATGCCACACATGGTAACTAATTAAGCAATCTCTTGCTCCATAAGAGCGGCGTCCATTCGTCACTATGTTCCCAAACAAAATGTTCATAAAGCACTATAGTATACCAGCTTTATAGGTTTTGGTTTTTAGATTTTAGATTTTGGTTTTGGTTTTTGAATTTTGCAAAAGAGAGAAAAATAAAATAAAAAATAAATGGAAAACAAAAAAAATTTTGAATCCACGGCAAATATTAAAAAAACTAACAAAAATGAGATATTAGATTTTGTTAAGAAAATTTTAAAAACTCTCAAAAATAGATTCCCTATTTTTTAGGAAAACCCATTTTTCTCATAATTTTGATTGGATGATTAAATGGTTTTTGAAAAATAAAAAAAAGAAACTATTATCTATTCAAGGCCTTCAATATCTCGGGCTGACGAGCTATTTTTCCACGAGAAGTATCGCATCAAAATTTGAATCCTAAGACAAAAATAAGTAAAAATAAAAATCCTACGGCAAAATAATGTGGCCTAAAAATCAAAAAACAAATTAGTGGCTTTAGGCAAATGCCTTTTTGCCAATACCATAAGCACGACACTAATTCAAACAAGACATAGTCCAAACTATGACCACATATTAGAGGTCTTCGGAAAAAATATTTGCCAAATCATATCTCACAGAATTGATAGTTTCCATCTGTTTCTCCGTAAATCTAGGTTTAGTTGGTTTACAAACTAAACCAAATACCAAACCACCTAACTAAACATAGTTTGAGGTCTATTTAGCTTGATGCGAAAGTTCTCGTGGTAAAATAGCTCGTTTGCTCCAATATCTCTATATTTCCTATTATTCACATTTAATATCTGTAAAATTGTCATGTGTTTGTGTATACTTACAAAGAAATATAATAGTCCTACCAAAAAAAAAAAGAAATACAATAGCTTGGGTGGTTAAGTAGTGGTTGGTAACTCTTGGAGGTGAGTGGTTCGAATCTCAAAGTTGTGTTCTTTTATAAACATAAAACGACGTCGTGTTTTGCAGTTTGACGAAAGTTTTTAACGTTGACTTAACCCCATTAAATTCGTCCGTCAAGTAACTTAACATCGTCAGTTAATCCCAATTTTGCATCTGAAAAAACTACCAAAAAACTTTAATCTCAATAAAACTATATGTACTTTCGGATTTGTTTTTAAAACTATATCTTCAATTGAACTGGTCAGTTAACCGGTAATATTTAATATGATTTAACTTACCTAGAATTTAAAATTTAATTGATTTTAACTCTATTCTTGGGAAAACGGCCAATTTTCCCCTGAACTTAGTTGCTTTATCGGATGCATACATAGAACTTTGCTTAGTGCCTATAACTACATGAACTCGACTAAAATTTGAATTTCCTACACGAACTATCCAAATTCGGTCAAAATCATCAAATCGACAAAAGGTGTTAGTGCTCCGTTAACAATATGCTGACTAGACGCCACGTCACGAGTACAAACGACTACAATGCAAAACGACGTCGTTTTATCAAAAAAAATCATTGATTCTCAGACTCGATCTCATGACCTTCAAGTGAGTTAAGCAAATTTAATACCACTTGAGCAACACTAGTTTCTGATTGAAATCAACAAATATTTATTGATATCTGGACGAGAGAGGGTTTTTCCATCATGGACGCTTTCGAGAAGCTTGAGGAGAAGAAGTGTCTCCATGAGGATGAAAAAGGTGTTCCTTCCAATATTCTCTGCGAAATCTCCATAGTCAATTCTTTCACTATCTCACTTGTTTTCCACATTTGATAGATCTCAATTTCATTCATATTAATCTGTTTGGAAAGTTAAATAATTGTTATATAATCAGATCTCTTCCAATTTCATCTTCTTCCAAATATGGGTTCGATCCCCCATTTGTCATATTTTGTATCAGATTTTTTTAATTTATAAAATTGAATGGTACAATGTGGCATCCCAGTCAGCATTCGTTAACGGAGTACTTACACCGTTTGTCGATTTGATGGTTTTGACCAAAGTTGGATAGTTCGTGTAAGAAATTCAAATTTTAGACGAGTTCATGTAGTTATAGGCACAAATCAAAGTTCTATGTATGCATCCGATAAAACAACTAAGTTCAGGGGGGAATTGGCCGTTTTCCCCCAAATACTGACCCCAAAAGAAAACAAAATCATAAGTCGCCCCATCAATTCTATTTCCGGCGGTCAAGCATTCTTCATCGCCGACAAAACATTTTTTACCGTTCTCCAGCTTCGTTAATCAATTCCGATCACGTTAATATTCCTAAATTCGATCTCGAAGGGGGTAGAGAAGTCTTTCGCGAAGAGAATCACGGGAATTTGATTACTTTTGGGATTCTTAGGGTTTCTTCCTGGTAAGATTTTCTATTTCTAACCTCAGATTCATCGGATCTCTATTGTTTAGCTTCTACATTTGGTGTCATCAATCCCAATTTTGATTTTATTCAATATCAGAAATTATAACTGCTATCTGAGATTCATGAGTTAGATCATTGATAGAAACTATGAATGAATCTCATTTTGTTGAGACGTTCAATTTTTTAGTTTTTATTTACAATTTGTGAGGATTTGCATTTTCATGGAAAAATTACTAAATTTGATTGATAAACGAGTCTGTAGACACAAGTCGTGATTGTAACTTAGAAAATTTCCTTTTGGATTCTGTTGATTTTCTAGATTTTGTTGTTTCCATTGATTTTCTTCCTTCATCCTCACTTTCTCGAAATAATTTCAAGTGCATTTCATGATTTCTCTATCACCTGTTGGTTTTGTGAATTTCAAAAATATACTGATCGTCGAAGAAAAAAGATATTTTGTTTTCTTTCATTTTTATGGGTTTGGGTTAAAATAGAATAAAATCGATTAAATTTGATTAAATTCTAGATAAGTCAAACCGGATTAAATATTATGTGTTAATTGTTTGGTTCAATTGAAAACGTAATTTTAAGAATAATTCTGACAGTACATGTTGTTTTATTGTAAGTTTATTAGAAACAAAAAGTTTGCTAAGATTACAACTAATATAAGACTGAAAAAAATAGTTAATTTTATAAAATAGATAATTACAAAAGTGATTATCCATCACTTATCTCTATCCATCTAATATTGGATAATGCTCATCTTGTAATTACTTCCTCTCCAAGTTTTCTATACTATATATATGTGGTACGTCAGAAGCAATAAGCTTCACACTTTATTCTCTCGTCTCTCTCCACTTTCTCTCATAGTTTCTCTCTCCACTTTATCTCATCTTTTGTTTATTTTATATACATATATATTTATATACATTATCGTTTATAACAGTTAACTCTTACTAAGTTGATGTTTTAAATGACATTATTTCCTATCTATTGTCTATTGTTATTTTATTTTATTTTTTATTCATATTTGATTCAAGGTTTTCTAATACATGAAAAAAATAAAACACAAGGGTCCAAAGAAGTCCAATTTTTTAATTTAAAGCTCAAAACACATACTATATATTGGAACCTAATTTTTTAAGTCAACTCAAGGAGAAGAAGATGGTCTTGTCTCAGGCCTAGGCCTAGGCAAAAAAACCGGTTCGGAGCGGGTACGGATAAGAGGAAATTATCTCATTAGATACAGTTTTTGTAAATTCGTGGATATCGGGTCAGTCCGGGTATTACCCGTTACCCAAACAGGGTACCCGAGTATCCGAACATATAATTAAATATCCAAAATATTAATTATATATAATTTTAATATAATTTAATTATCTAGAATTATAATTATAAATCTAAATATGACAATTAACTTTAGACTTAAATACCCCAAACAACCAAACTATCCAAAAATTATTTGTTATGTTTGTCAAAAATTTAGCAAAATGTATTCAAATATAACTAAATTTATTAAAATTTAACAAATTTTTAATGTTTTTTTTGAGTACCCGATATTTTACGTACAAAATCCGACATTTTACATATAAAATACCATAACCGAACGGGTACCCATATTTTTCGGGTATTTATAGGGTCTAAATTTTTCTATCCGAACCGACCCGAACACGACGATATCCGAACCGGATCGGAACCAAATGTTTAGAAATACCCGAATGGATCGTAAATTTATTACCTATTTAACCCAAATCCAAACGGGTTTTACTTGAACCGAACGGGTTACCCATATGCCCAGGCATACTCAGGCCCATAGAAGATAGAAATGATTAAACTGGTCCAGTCACACAAAATTGCTAATCTCGTCACTTTAATATTTATTATCAGTCAAATTATCCAAAATTGTGACCATCTCCGTCGTCGATTTCTTCGTATTCCGGTGGCTGAGGAGGTTACTTTCTCATATTCTCCCTCTTTTGTTTTCCCTGTTCGAGCGGATCTCTCTTTTCTTTTACCAATTCGTTTCTTTGTTCATTGATTTTTAATACCCTGATTCATTTTTGCTTTGTCTTTTCTGTGATTCAAGCTGTTTCCTTTTACGTTGTGGGATCCTTAACGTGTGTATTATTTTGGTATTTTTGAAGTGATCTTAGTTATTTTTCTCACTGTGAAGGCAAAAACTGTACAAACCAATTGTAACTTGTAGTTTGGTTTGGTTTGTGTTTATCTTATATGACTGTGACAAATCGATTTATATATGGAATTGCTAAATAAAAGTTGAAGATATGTGGCTCTGTTAGTTAATTATTATTAGTTTTGATTGTGCAGCATTTGTTTAGGTTTTCTCAGACAAACACTGTGAGAAAATTTTAAGTGTTCCTGAGGAGTAAAAGAGGAAAAAGGAGAATGAGAATAGTCGGGTTAACGGGAGGCATAGCGTCTGGGAAGAGTACAGTCTCCAACCTCTTCAAGGCTAGTGGCATTCCCGTTGTTGACGCTGATGTTGTTGCTCGAGTAAGTAACAAACATCTCTCTCTTTTCTATTTGAGTGATCATTGCAAAGAGAGAGGTCCTCCTAGATGAAATTTAGCTTAAGAGAAGTTTAGTAAATGGTTTGGAAATGTGTTGTTTTGCTATATAGGATGTATTGAAGAAAGGAAGCGGTGGTTGGAAAAGAGTAGTTGCAGCTTTTGGTGAGGAGATTCTGCTTCCTAGTGGAGAAGTGGATCGTCCAAAACTCGGTCAGATTGTGTTTTCATCTGGTTCTAAGCGCCAACTTCTAAACAAGTAAGGATTTGAAAATTCCCTTTATTGTCTATTTTATGAGGTCCTGAAATTGGTGTTGTGTCTTTCTCTCTATAGACTGATGGCTCCATACATATCAAGTGGTATCTTTTGGGAAATTCTGAAACAATGGGCGAGTGGTGCTAAAGTGATAGTTGTCGATATCCCTTTGTTGTTCGAAGTGAAGATGGATAAATGGACTAAACCTATTGTGGTTGTGTGGGTTAGTCAAGAAACACAGCTTAAGAGACTAGTGGAGAGAGATGGACTGAGTGAGGAAGATGCAAGAAATAGAGTGATGGCTCAGATGCCGTTGGATTCGAAAAGAAGCAAAGCTGATCTTGTGATCGATAATAATGGCTCTCTCGACGACCTCCACCAACAGTTCGACAAGGTTTTGTCTGAAATCAGAAAACCCTTGACGTGGATCGAGTTTTGGCGTTCAAGGCAAGGAGCCTTCTCGGTCATTGGTTCGGTGATTTTAGGATTATCTGTTTGCAAACAGCTCAAAATTGGCTCTTAACATTTTGATTTTTTTCTGATTTTTCAATGATGCAAACTGTAAGTCATCACTTCTGTTACTGTTAATAAATTTCTTGTAAGAATCTTTCAACTTTCATATATTTAATCTCCCTCTCCCCAACATTAACTTACACTACTCACTAGTTTGATTTCACTTTCCTATTCAGTTCTCAGACATCTATTATCCATGTACAACTTGAAGCTGAGATTGAGAAAAAGAAAGAAGCAGCAAGTGACAATTAATCATAGGAGACGACGAACGGAATGACCATCAACAAGAAAACATCGTAAGGGAGCGTTGCATAGCCTGTGTAACCAGGGTCATTCTCTTTGAACTTCTCAGTCAATCCCTGATAATAAGCATATGACATGCTGTTAAAAAAAAAATAAGCATATGACACAGATATTAAACGATTTCAAGTGGTTTAGATTCTCAATAGAGGTTAAAAGATCATAGTTCATACCTTGACAATCATCCCACATCTGCAAATCCACCACAAAAATGATATTTAGAAACCGAATCAAGAACTACATAATCGACGAAAGACACAGAGAAGAAAACTTACTCAAGGAAACTATCGAAACAGAGGTCAACAGTTTTGCCAGTCCCATCATCAAACTGAGATACGATAAGTTGAAGAACCGAGGTTGGAAGCATGTATCCCAGATGAAAGAAAGCGTCTCTTAGCTCGGTAGCATTGATCTTTCCGCTCCTATCTCTATCGTACCTGTCAAATATTGCCTACAACAGACAACAATACTCACTAGATTGATTAATAAAAGAGAGTCTTAGACACTTAATTGTTCACTTACACGCCATTGTGCAAGGCAATTCCACAACTCAACATACTCCTTAGGACCTACACAAATGGAACATCATAACTCATACTAATCTAAACGCAGCAGAATCAAAAGAAACTAAGGCCTTGAATGGTTGGTCAGTACGCTCTGGACCGGGCTAAAATCGAATCAGTTCAATGTTTATAAAGAGTGATTGAAATTGAATTTCACTTATTTGCATTCTGTTCTATAAAATGAAATTCAAAACCAATTTCAAAACCACAAATAAGTGAATTTACCAAGCCGAAGCAGAGAATCTCCAGGACTCTTGTAAATAAACAGCAGAAACCTAATCGTTCTGTTACTAATTCCTTCGTAACCAGATAACAACAACGCTTGCCGGAGCTCCGACTCTTCGAGAAATCCGCTCCGATCTCTATCCGCCGACTCAAAGCTCCTCACAATCTGCGGATGCGTTTCCGGTGAAAACATCCCGGAGGAGGAGCTTAATTGTTGAGTTTGTTGATATGATGGATACGCGTAACTGTATCTATTTTCGCCGTCGTACTGCTGCTGACCGAACGATTCTGGCAACTCCGGTGCTGACGGCGCGTAGGCGTTTGAGGAAGCCATTGATCAGATTATGAAATTCTTAGAAATGGCTCGAATTCGGAGAATCTGGTTATTGCTTTCTCTCAAATTCCAGAGGTTGAAGACGACTGATTCTGATTCGCGTGATTTAATCGAATTTATTAGTATTATGATTGGACGGTGAAGATATTAATGTATTTAATCCAACGGTGAGATTGAGAGCGTGTGCGTGCTTATAACTCTTTAGTGCTTATCAATTTAAATATGGGCTTTTAATATTAATGGGCCGATATATTAGACGGTGAGGATTTTGTTAAATTAATCCAACGGGTAAGATTTAGCGCGTGGTCATAACTCTTTAGTGCTTATCAATTTGAATATGGGCTTTTATTATTAATGGGCCGAGCAGCTTGTTAGGCGGGAAAGACGGCGAGAGAGAGAGAGAGAAGAGAAGAATGGAATCGGAGAAAGTGGTGGTGGACGAGCTGCCGCTGGCTATCGTGCGCCGGGTGGTGAAGGATAAGCTGTCGGAGTGTTCGCCGGAGTATGACGTCAGTATACACAAGGAAGCGTTGCTTGCATTCTCAGAGAGTGCGAGGATCTTCATCCACTACCTCTCCTCCACGTACGTAGACCTCACAAACCCTAACTTTTTTTCGAGTTTGTTCACTGTGATAGTTAATGATTTGGAATGTTCCAAGTTTGGGTTATTGTTAATGTGATTCAATTGATGAATTTTAGTGTTTGTGATCTATTGAATTGATGAATTTAGTTTAATTTTGGGGGTGAATGATATAGGGCAAATGATTTTTGTAAAGATGCAAGAAGACAAACTATGAAGGCTGATGATGTTTTTAAGGCATTAGAAGAAATGGATTTTTCAGAATTTTTGGAGCCGCTTAAAACTTCTCTTGAAGGTAAGTTTTTTTTTTTTTTTTTTTTTTCCTGATGAAGATCATATTCTCACTATCTGTTGTTTAATTCATGAAGTTTTAGCAGAATTGGCTTAGGCTGTGATTTGTCTTCTTATGGACACTGGCCTAGGTGTGTGCCCTTTGAGCTTTATGATGTCAATCCTAATGTAATCTACATGACTGATTTTCAGATTTTAAGAAGAAGAACGCTGGGAAAAAAGCGGGTGGTGGAGCAGCTTCAAAGCCTGCTGGTGGAGCTGCTTCAAAATCTGCTGGTGCAACAGCTTCGAAGCCCAAAGAGACGAAGAAGAGGAAACAGGAAGGGCCATCAACACAAAAGGGTGCGAGGAAAAGCAAAATAGATGAGGAAACTAACAAGAATGATGAGGAGAATGAGAATGACAACACAGAAGAAGAGAATGGAAACGATGAGGAGGATGACAATGACGATGAAAATACGGAAGAGAATGGGAATGATGAGGAGAACGAGAAGGAGGATGAGGGAAACAGCATGGAAGAGAATGGGAATGAGAGCGAGGAGAGTGGGAATGAGGACCATAGCATGGATGAAAATGGGAGTGGGGATGGTGAAGATAATGAGAACGAGGACGGGAGTGGAAGCGGAAGTGGTGAAGAGGTAGAGGGTGATGAAGAAGATGAATGAACTCAAGGTTATATTTTTTGCTAAGAACATGTTTTCAGGTTAACGTTAGATTAGCTTGTAAGCTTGAAGCAGTGGTTGTGGCCATGAGCATGTCATAGACTCATATCAAATTGTTTTGCTCTTTGGCTCTACTGTTAACAGATATGTAAGTCAAAGTTTAGAAATGAAATTTTGCAACAAAAGAGTGAAGAGCAAATTTTGGCTTATTATTCATTCTGATTTAGAGATCAAAAAAGTTGGGATGCTAGTCTAAGCAAATGTTACAACAAGAAGAGCAAAACTCTTAAATGGGAAAAGTTTTGACACAGTTGAAATTTTTGAGTTCAGTGGCACAGCACTTGAGGACCTCAATATTCATCTTGACATCATCCAGAATCCTAAAACTCACATATTAGAACTCAACTAGCCAATAAAGACACCCTAATGAAAAGCTCGAGGTTGGATGTATAAAAAAACTAAAGGGTCATTTGGCTTTCACTTCATGTATTCAGTGACACGCTGCGAAATATCGTCGAGGAAAGACACGAAACCCATGGCGCTAGCAAAACCAATACCGTCCACATCTTGTTCTTCTATAAGATAGTTCTCAAAGACAGTAGCATCGTCTCGTCCTCCTCGGATAAACATCAGTTTTGGTGTGATGCTCCTTTCTTGCTTCACCTTATTTATGGTCTGCCTCAATAAACCTGTAAGATAAAAGTTTTCAAATCAGCATAATCCAACAGATCTAAAGGTGGTTGAACTGGATTTCATTTGGCAAGCAAACTTACAGTCTTGAGGTGGAGGGAAAGGTATCGACGGGTCTGCAGTTGATGAGTAGAAGACTATCAAAGTGGTATATGCATCTAGGAAAAATATTGGACTACCACTTGTAATCAAAGCCGCGCGGCTCAATGAATGACGCGGATATGCCAGTGTATCTGGTGTTGAATATGACATTAGTGCTGGGTAAATCCCGCAATGAAGAGAGCTCGGGTCCAACACGCTGCAATTTCAAGGAAAAAAAGAACACAAACGGGAAATTTAGGTACTTAAGCCTTGATTGTGGTTGCGTTTACATGCGGTACCAAGGTATTTTTTTTCAAAATAAATCCACTATCTTATATTACCCTACATATGCAATATTGTTCACGATGACTCATTAGGGTGGCTATTAGTAGTTCATTGGGATGGTTACCTGAAAAGGCATTGCAAGTAGATTCTGTAATCAGGATGAACACCTTCTTCATGAAACCGGAGAAGGGGGTTACGGAGTAAGGCAAAGACTAAACGAGGCAAAGGCTCAAGTTGAGGACATTGTGAAAATGTGATATCAATCTGAGAACTCATCGACTTGTTTCCGTTTTTGTATTGGACGAGATTAAAGGCATCGTTGTATTGTGCTGTTAGAATTACTAGCCAATCATGAAGTAATGCCCTCCCTTCACGGACTCCATCTTCCAGAGAGGCTAAAATTACCTGCAGAGAAATAATTACGAAAATACAGACAGAATTAGCAGATTAGTAATGGATTCATTTCTTTCACTGGAGCCGAGATAAAAACAAGAAATGACTTTTACCTTGTGAACGAGCAATGAGAGAACTACTTCATGATCCACACTGTCGTAAATTTCATTGATGTTGTGGGCAGTTCCAAATTGCATGGTTCTGATCCTTAATCGTCTCTGAAGTGTGTGTTTGCCTCTGTGTAACACAGAATAAATCAAACCGAGCTTGAAACACTACAAGATCCACAGTAGTGATTACCATGAAAGGCAATTCTGGGCTCTGGGATTGACCGAGTACAAGGTCATTAATGTAAGGGAAGTTCAAGGTTTACTATCAACTCTAGGCTCTGGCATGGACAGTTTGTTTACGAGGTATGAAATTCATTTCTAGGATACAAAACACTATGAATGTTCCAATGATAAAAAATTCCAATAAAAAGCATAGCCCCATATGAATATGATTATAATGATCAATCAACACCTTTAGCATGGATTAATCTTACCTACTTGAAGATGACATTTCTGAATTTGACAGTCCCTCGGGAGGTACAACAACTGTGTACTGAAATGCAATTTGCACAACTGGTTGCTCTCCAGAATGCCTGGAAAAGAGCACAAGAAGTAAGCATCTTTTAAGTGCCAAGTCTGTTTATCAAATTAGTTAAAAGACTTAGCAGTGGTTTCAACAATATAGTAAAAAGTTCAATAATTTTTTTTAAAGCAATACTTTATTGCAGGTCAGGGAAAGCATGGCAATGACTAGTTACAGATATACTGCGAGTCAAATTAAGTACAAAATCAATGACTAGCGGCTTTACAATTGCATGGAATCAATCAGCATCCATTTCGTCCCTTCGACCAAATCATAAATATAGGAAAAAAGCAATTATTGTTAAGTTTACCTGGAAAATCCAGAATTATCTGCAAAATCAAAGTCATATGCATATGTTGCATATGAATCACAGCAGATGATATGCTGAAGGTTCTCGTACTGTGGATCTGGAAAGAAGTGACCAAACTGCAAGTAAGGCCAAACTGTTAGCTAAAGCAAAAAAAAAAATTCATTATCTGAACTTTCGTTTCTCACAAAAACCACATACAGAGTTGCCAGGTTTGAATTCAGTTGATGTCCTCAATCGCAAGACACAATTGAATGCATACGGCCGGTTAAGCATTCGAAACCTACAAAAGAAGATCATGCAATTTTGTTTTAATTAATTTGGTATAAATAAAGAAAATACAGCATGCTTTCTTTCTATTGGAGTGGAAAAATAATGCCAAGCATCAGAACTAACATGTCTTGGGGAAGAGTTGAATCATCGGTGCTTGAATACAAAAACAGCGAGCCACCACTTTCGATGCTAAGGAACTTCAGGGATGCTAAATCTGTGTATTCATTTGTAACTGCGAATAAATCTACACATACACCAGATTGGACAGCAATGGTGGCCTATAAAAGAGCCGTTAGATCTTAGCTGAAAGTATATATCCATCTTGGAGATAGAAAATCTTGAAATAATACTTACTAGGTCTTTGTAGAATGGTGTTTGTTCAGGAAGCAGAGCACGATCAGCATCTACCCTTTTACTTGCATATTGTTCACCATATCTACTTGTATCCAGTTGTCCACGTCCATAATCAGGAGGACCAGATAGGAAAGCAAACACCCTAGCTGCACTTATATCAAGTCAGTAAAACACTGCCCAGTGCAAAACAACCTGATGAGGAAAGAAACTAGACTGTGTTGAAACATATAGAGTATAGACATGCTACAAATTTTCACATACCTAATGCAAATGTATTCCCAAATTCAGATCCTAGATAGTTGAATAGAGCTTCCATAGCTGTACCAAAGCCCCTACCACCCATCAATACACTATCCATCCCTTGAGCTGCTCCAGCTGATCTCTCCCAAGAAGTTATTGGTCTGAGTGTCTCAAGAGCTGCAGCAATACGATCCTTGCAAGTTTCTACCTGTAGGAAGTATAGAAAGGGAACTTTGTCTGTCTACAGGTGTTCCTAGCTATGTGATCCAACAATCACCATGATTGACCAAGAAAGTACGAAATATGAAACGAAATGTTAAAAAATGACCATACCGGAGCCAAAAATTGTAACAAGGGCATGACATCCTCAAGTTCTAGCGATAGGCTACTCTCCCCATCAGGAGGAATGAATACATTCTTTACAACTGGTATAGGTCCTTGAACATCATACAGTCCTATTTTGTGGCTGAACGTAACAAGACCGAAAAGAGCCCCTGGACTTAGAGCTGCAAAATAGAAAAAACGAGAGAAAAATATACCCTCAGAACACAGTTACAGAGAAGAAAAAGCACATCCTTGCTTTAAATTTTGTATGAAATGACCTTCCAGAGCGGCTAGCAATGCACTTTTTGTAAGTTCCAAAAATTCCTCGGAAGCTGCAGATTGAAAAAGGAATTATGAGCAACAAAAAAATGCAACATTTGAACAAGAAGATGGCACTGATATACATATCAGACAGAAACATAGGAACTCTGAAGAAAATGAGTAGTATGATCTTAAGAAAGCAATAACATGTGTATTGTTCTAGCGGATCGAAATGATATTTACTAGAATAAGAGACATGGACGTTCACGTACAACACATTATATTGGAAGGCCCAGTCAAACAGAAACTTGATGAAAACCAGCTCACTGTCTAGAACAATTCGAAGTAAATTTACTGCTACCATACTCTGCCAAAGCATGGCAAAATTACAACATGAACAACAGAAAAGACATACAAACCCAAGCTAGAATCACAATCTAGATCAAATTACATACAAAACGAAGCCAAAACTCAATAAGAACAACAGAAAAGACATACAAACCCAAGCTAGAATACAATCTAGATCAAATGACACACATTGCTTCTGAGAATTACAATGCAAAGATTATCAACACACAATTCAACTACAATTCACACTGATCATGATGAACAAGAAGATGATATTCAAAGAAGTGAAACAAATTATATTGGAGGACCATTCAAACAAAACTTGATGATAACCAGCAGAATGATCACACAATTCACATTACAGAACAATTCAAAGCAAATGTATTCCCACCATAGCCTATCTCCAAAATCATGACAAAATCACACTCGATAAGAAACAACAAAAACATATAAAACAAAGCTAGAATCATAATCCACAGTAAAATGACACACACATTGCTTTCAAAATTCACAATCCCAAAGTTCACTAACACACAATTCAAGTACAATCTACATTAACCAACAATAAAATTGAACATAAGAGTGAAGAAAGAAGCCTTACACGAGATATCAATCGCCGCGACATACACAGGCCGTGCTTGAGTCATCTCTTCCTCCGATCCATCCACTAAAAACAAAAAAAAATCAAGCAGAAATCAGAACCAATTCCAACAAGAAACCAAAAGAATCAGTACAGAGATGACATAATACATACGAGGCATCTCAAGATCAATGAAGGAAGAAGTCATTTCAGGTATAGACTGAGGATTAGAGTAACGAGCAACAGCATCAGAAGGAAGTCCATTGAGAGTTCCACAAAGCGAGCAATTCCAAGCCCATTGATCAAGCTCACAGTAGGTATTGAAGTAAGCGTAGCAGTTTTCGCAACGAGGAAGAAGATGACCGTTAGATCCGTACGCTGGTCCGACTTCGTTCTCGTCTTTAGCCGCGAATGGTGTTACTGTTAGTCCCCAAGGAAGTCCTGACGCCTCTTGAGCATCTGCATCGATCGGAAAACGCGACACCGTTGCTCTCACGGCCATTGCTTCAGATATTTCGAAAGGTAAATTTTGATTCTGGTTGAAGGTTTTCGGAGAATTGGTGTGGATCGGTGAAAATGGGATGAGCACGGAGAGAATTTGGTGCACATTAGCTTACGACGTTAAATTTGGCGCTGCACGTTAGCTTACGACGTTAAATTTGGCGCACGTTAGCTTACGACGTTAAATTTGGCGCACGTTAGCTTATGATAACTTATTTTGCGAAACGTTTCACAACTCTTCTTGGTTTTTGGAATTATTTTTTTTTACTCGAATCCTTTCATATAGAAACATCAAAGAGGCTAATGATTTAGTGGTGGATGAAGTGACGGTACTACATAAAGATGGAGTGATGCAACAACTGAAGTCTAAGACCATCATCGCAAAGGTTAAAGACACGGGAAATTCGCTATGTTTTTGTTCTTGGAGAGAGCTCGAACTTAAAGATATACTCTATGTTAGTCGATAGTATGGATGTGGTGTCAATGTAGCATCAAATAAATTGAGGATTAAGTACATGAATGAAACCCTCTTTCACCTCCGAACTGAACTAAGAGCGTTTTTTTTTTCCTAACAAAAAAAGGCTAGAAAGAGAGTATTCTTTAACCCGACTTGATTTTGTACGTATATACTATATCATACATAGTATATCATAAATTTCAAAATTAAATGTATGCCCGATTAAAAAAATCTATCAAAATAGATACCTCGTTATTGCTCAGAAGAACAATAATAGGTAAGGATGACAGGATTTGAACTCCTAGACTCCTCAATTAAATATCTTCCTGGATCATTGACTATTTTTCCTTGCTAGCTTTCTATGTAGGAGATTGTTTAGTCACGACAGATTCATTGGTTGTTGACAAATGCAAAGCCCCAAAAATATCGTTCATCTATGGGTATCCCTTCTTTGCAATCTTTGAAACAAACTTTGACTTTGTGGTTTGCTAATAACCAATCAATTTATGTCAATAGTAGTAAGATATTTTCTCATTTGTTTTTGTTCTAGTGAGAGATGTGTTGTTAACATGGCGAGATATGCACTTCTTAAAATTATACACGTGAGATACAAGAAAATATGCGTATTGCAACTAAATTTTGCGACCAATTATCTAATTGCAAAACATTGTGATTAATTCTTGACTTATTTCCGACGTTTTACCAACTAATTAAAAAATGGAGAGTAAACAGTCGCATTTATGCGACGAAACAAATAAGTCGGTGAACAATCGTAAATTAGCGACTGTTATGTGACAGATTAAAGGCTAATATGTTTTGGTCGCAAAAGAATCGCAGATCTGCGACTAATATGCGACGTGATATTGAGTTAGAAACTATGGTCGACATTAAGTCACAAAAAAAGCGACGATTTAACAACCAAATTTTATAAGATCTTTAGACATATAGAATTTGAAGAGGAATAATTTGAATAATTAAAAAACAATGAGTCTAAATGTGTGTTTTGTAATAGTGTCATGTGTGTTTTATATATTAAAAAAAGAAAATTATAAACATTGTCTCAATTTATTTACATATATTTATGACAAATATTAGATTGAGTACACTGGTAATTTGGTAACATACTTTGCATATGTCTCAGAGAACTACGGTTCGATTCTAGACAAAAAAAATTCCATACATTTTACACATGGTCACAAAACAGTCGCAAACCTGCCAGCGTTTTGCGACTATAAGTAAAATGCTACTACTTTGTTCGACCATTTTTATTTTTAGTCCCTAATTAGTCGGTGTTTCGACTAGCACCTGAAGGTTTTTGCGACTAACACCTGAATTAGCGACTAAGTTGAGACTATTTACCAACTCTCGATTTTTTTTTTTCAAAAATTCACATTTAAAATTTTATTACATGTTAAGTTAAACGTTTTTACACTGATTTGATCGAACTTAGTAATAAAAACTTAACCAAAGTCATAAATTTTGATGTTTACAAACAAAACATTCAAAAGTACCAAATCTTTTTCTAGTTTTACTTTACTTATATGAGTAATGTTTAGAAATCTTGATATAAAAATCTATATTAATCTAAGCACGATGATATACGATAAATAAAAATAATTCAAAACTCCAAGAAGAAATCAATATAAATAAATTTTAAAAAAACTAAAATTGTCAAAGTCTCTTTGTTCCAATGGATGACTAAAGGTTCATTAATACTTCTACACCAAGCTCGGGTTTGAGTCCCAAAGAACACAATTTCTTGCAGATTAATGCTGTAAAACTTATCGAAGGTCCTAAAAGCCTCATGTAGAGCCGTTCGTAGTGGTATGAGTGTTGCATGGAGAGCATGTCCATCGCGGAGATGTCGTACATGCATAACTGACCGTTGAAGATCTGATTATTGCTAGGAATGATGCGCCGTGGAATCGTTGTTCGTGGGAGCTGTTCATCATAATCGCATATGCTGCAAGTAGTTGAATCTCATCATAATAAGACTAGGTTAAATATCTCTAATGATAATGATGATGTAATAAGACGACAAAAAAAACTAAAATTAAGCTAAAATATATCACTACAAGAAAACATAGGTATTTCTGACTAACAATATGATCGAGAATAATTGACACATATTACAATTGTGTTAATTACAAATTCTGAAAAATCAAGGTTTACATAATAATATTTTCTCTTTTTACTAAATTTTCCTTTTTATTAAATTTTCTTGTTTTAATTGAAGTATATCCTTTTTAATTATATTGTATAGTTAAATATATACGTTTTGTTTTTATTTTTTAAAAGTTAAGGATTTGTAATTTTCATTAGCATATGTCAAATTCTGATCTTAAGAAGTTTTTTACACTTGTCAAAATCTCATCAATTGATTGACACATATCGCGATCATGTAAATAGCTAAGTTTGAAATATCTAGATTATCTAATAAGATTTTATATTTTTTTTTCTTTTTATGTATTTTAAGAAAATAAAATTTGTTATCTTTTCTTTTTAAAATTAGTAATTTACTATATTTTATTAATATTTTCTTTACATATCTTTGAAAAATCTGTAATCTTTTTAATTTTAGGATTTATAATTTAGTTTATAATTTCCTTTTTATTAAAGTTTTATAGATTATATCCAAAAAAAAAATCTAATCCTTTTACTTTTACTATTTGTAATTTACTATATAATTTTTTTTTTTTTATAATTTTCTTTTTATACTTGTCGAAATCTGATTGATAGACTTAACATGTGTCTCGATCATGCGAATTACTAACTTTGAAACCAAGCTGTAAATAATAAGATAAAAATATAAACTGTTATAAATAATAATTAAATAATAAATTAGTATTAAAATAGAAAACCTAGTAGGGAAAAGATATAATTTTTGAAAGAAAAAAAGAAAAGAAAACAAAGTCCGTAATAATGTAATCTAAACTTATTTCTTAAGAAGTTTTTTTCAGTTAACCTCTTTATCCCTATATAAGAAAGGGCAAATGTGAAAGCTTATAAACCAAATATCTGATTTCCTCTAGATCAAGTAAAAACAATGGTGAGAATGGATATTCCATGGGATTTGTAGATGAAATACTCTCTCGACTTCCGGCAACATTTCTTGGCCGACTACGATTTACATGCAAACGATGGAATGCTTTACTCAAAGATTCGAAATTCATCACAAAGCAATTGGATAAAGCAGCAAAGCAGAATTTGGTTCTCATGTTGAGTAATTTTAGGGTTTACTCGATGAGTATCAATCTCAAAGAAATTCATAACAACATTGATGTTGATCCATCTATAAAGTTTACTGCTAAACTTAGCCAACAAGTCGAAATAACGCAAGTTTTTCACTGCAATGGCTTATTGTTATGTTCCACGAAAGAGGCCGACAAGACTAAACTCGTTGTTGTGAATCCGTGTACTGGTCAAACCAGGTGGATCGAACCAAGAAGTGATTGCAATATATATGATATGTATACTCTAGGTTACGAAAACAACAACAAGAAATCGTATGATAGCTACAAAATCTTGAGGATTTCGTATGGTTGCAATCTCTTGGAAATCTTTGAGCTAAAGTCTAATTCATGGAGGGTTCTTCCTCAAGTCCCTCCCAACATGGGTCTGGATCTACGTCTGTATGGAAGAGGCGAGTCTTTGAAGGGAAATACCTACTGGTTTTGCTATTTTAAATTCGGTATGTTGAGTTTTGATTTCACAACAGAGACACTTAGACGTGTGCCTCTTCCATTTCCGTATGGGCATCGTGATTTATGTACTTTGTCTCTATCAGTTGTTAAAGAAGAACAACTTTCGGTGTTACGTTCGAGTCATGATACGCGACAGATGGAGATATGGGTGAGTGATAAGATTGATACTGGAACCGTGTTGTCGTGGAGCAAATCCCATACATTCGATTTTGTTTCTCTGCGTGATCATCTTGGTTTTGCGGGTTCTGTGAGTGTCTTCATTGAAGAAGACAAGAAAGTGATTATTGTGGGTTGTGGCAGAAGCGAGGAGAAGTACAAGAACATGATATATATTGTTGAAAAGAATGGATGCAGAAAATTAGATTGTGATATAGACAAATCTTATATTGCTCGGCCGTTTCTCTTTAGTTATGTTCCACGTTTAGTTAGTTTATATCCACCAATGTAATATTTATTTTTTCTTCCTCTTTGTATATAAAGTTTTTGCTACCTTCATTTCTTGTGGTGGACCGGTGGTCATATGAAAAAACCAGTCGTCATAATCCTAATATTAACGCATCATTTTTATTTTTAGTGACATGAAACTCTGAATCTTGGGTTAATAAAACTAAAATCTTATTCAACGTTTAGTGAAGATGATAATGCTCTTTTTATTTTTCCGTAACCATAGTACTTTTACATTTATAGGATGTTGTTTTGCATGATAAATTGAGGGAGAAGGAGAAATCACGTGAAATCTCTAATATCCTTGTTGAGCACTCTCTTCTTCACTTCTTTCGCCTGCAGATCCGTTTTCTCATTTTATCATCCTTCTGCTTGGTTCGCTTTTCAGATGCGGCAAGTCGCAATATGTTTTGATCATATCGACGCTTTTCTAAAATTGTTTATCGTTTCCTTTTGCCTCATACAAGTTGTTTGATTTGCACTAAACTTGGAACATAAGCGCACAAATGTGGTATACAGTTTTTTTTGGCAGGTTCTCCGAGATCTAATTCTCTAAAGTATCCAGTCTCTCCAATGATGGTAACTCTATGGAGATTCATGCTATTTCTGAAACCCACGGAGACTTTCTTCTCCTCGTCAATGAAGAAACTCCCATTGCTAAATGGGATCGATCTGTTAGCCAATGGTCTTGTATCCATTTTCAAAAACTGGCTCCACGACACCTTTTTGGCCTCAATCTTAGTCGTAATCCATATCTCAAACTCACATGGATTTATTCTGTTGTGTGTAAGTAAAACCGCAAGCTTCTCTTCTCTAACACAAATAAAATCACATAGTTATAATTCCCAACAGTATAAGGCAAAGACAGAAGTGGCCCAAATCTATTTCTTGTGAAATCAAAGCAGATTATGTGATCATCTAATCCGTGGTTTCCGCCAACTTCTGAGTTTCTTCCTGAAGCACGAAAGTAAGTGTTTCCCTTGAAAGAAACGCCATCATTACCAAACGCTATACGCCAGTACGGAGTGACATCAAGTGTTGTCCATAAATCAGAGTCAAAATCGTAAATTTCATACCAAAAATATCGGCTTTCGTGTTCACAATAGTAGTAATCTATAAACCTTAGTAATTTGTAGCTATGACAAAATTTCTTATTCTCATATCCTAGTGCATAATTGGACTCATATCCGAGTGCATAACTGAACCCATCCCTTGCGAATGGATGGTGAGAATATCTCGGTTCCATCCACCTTGTTTGCCCCAAATATGGATTCCAAACCACAAATCTAGTATCATCTTTCAAGATGCATAACACTATAAACCCTCGCAGTGAATGACTTGAGATATCTTGACTTGTTCTGAATCGTTTAAGCAAGTAAGTTTACCTTTCTGCTCTACTGATGGATCAATGTCAAATCCATTGAAGACAATGCTATTCAAATAAAGATTGTAATCCATCAACATGATCATTCTAGTCTCACCTTCCTTTATTGCTCCTACTCCTTTACTAATGTGCAACTTCATAAAGCTCGGACTTTTAGATAAAGTGTTCAAGGTTTTGCATGTTAATCGCACTGCTCTCATAGACATCAAGGGAATACTAGAGAAAATCTCTTCTACCAAATCTCTTGGAAGATTGAAGATCGTCATCGTCATTCTTTCAAATTGCAACAAGGGTTTTGTTTAACCTTTACAAACCTGTTTTTTTATTTTTTTTCCCCTCTGATTCCTTGCAGCTGAAGTAGAGGCTATATACATATTTAACAACAATTTAAGACTCGAAAATTCATAAAGTTTCAATTCGTTCTTGATCACAAAAAGTTTTGAATTTTTTTTTGTGCACATTATGTTAGTATAGTATTTGATCAAACACAAATTATAAAAATAGAAAACCTAATACGAAAAGGAAAATAGTAAACTTATATCAAGACAAGGCAAAACGTGAAGCTTAATTATAACCCTAAAATTATATTTTTCTTCAAGATCAACGAGAGAAACAATGGTGAGGTTTGATCTTCCATGGGATTTGGTAGAGGAGATACTTTCTAGAGTTCCAGCGACATATCTGCAGAGACGATTAAGATTTACTTGCAAAAGATGGAACGCTTTATTCAAAGATCCGGAATTTATTTGCTAGCAGAGAAGCCGTGTTGGGTTCTCATGTTAAGCTCTTTTAGGGTTTATTCGCTGAGTGTCAATATCAACTCCGTTCACAATAACATTGATGTTGAACTTAGAAGAAGAAACCTAAACGAGTCAGAAAAAGTCGAAATAACTAACCATTTCATTGCAACGGCTTATTGTTATGTTCCACGAACGAGGAAAAGACTAAACTCGTGGTTGTGAATCCATGTACCGGTCAAACCAGATGGATCAAACCAAGAAGTGCTTACGATATGTTTGATAAGTATGCTTTAGGTTATGAAAACAACAATGGAAGTTCATACGGTAGCTACAAAATCTTGAGGTTCCCTGGTCATATATACTACTGATGGCAACCATTTGGAAATCTTTGAGCTAAAGTCTAACTCATGGAGGGTTCTTGCTAACATCCCACCTAAACTGATATTTGGGAGACGCGTGTCTTTGAAGGGAAATACATATTGGTTTTCTTGTGTCTTGAGTGACATTGATATATTGAGTTTTGATTTTGCAACAGAGAAATTCAGAAGTTTGTGTCTTCCATTTATTTTTATGCTTCCGATGGTTATGGAGTCGAATACTTTAGCTTTATCAGTTGTTAGAGAAGAGAAACTTTCGGTGTTACATCTAAACTTTGGTGCACGACAGATGGAGATATGGATGAGTACTAAGATTGATACTGAAACTTTTTCGTGGAGCAAATCCTTTGTATTTGATTTAAGCTCACACTTGGATCTTTTAATTTTTACTAAGAGAAGTGAGTTTCTTCATTGATGAAGAGAAGAAAGTGATTATGTATTGTGGCAGAAGCGAGGATTTCACGAAGAACATGATATACATTGTTGGAAAGCATGGTTGCAGAAAATTCGATTATTATAGAAACCAATCAAAACATTGTCTCAGCTGGTTTCTCTTTAGTTATGTTCCAAATTTAGTTAGTTTAAATCCACCAATGTAAACTTTTCTTTTCGTCCTGTGGTGCGATGATATATGAAAGACCAGTAGTTTTTAACACAAGCTTAACACATATATCGACGGGTTAGAATTTATTCACATTTTATGAAGATAATGCTCTTTGGGGAGGGGGGCTTATATCTCTTTTTCTTTGTGTTGTCAAATATTGTCGTCCTGATAATAATAGATAGATTTCGTCAAAAATTAATATGTTATACAATTATACAAACTATTCAAGAAGACAAAGAGTATCGAACGGACGACAATAGTTTGTATAACATATTAATTTTTATAGTTTGTATAACATAACTTAAAAAACAAAAATAATTTTAAGGTTTTTAGGTCTATAAAGACCTAGTTGCTTTGGACTTTATATCCCTAGTGGAAAATAGGTGCTAGCTCTTTCCATTGACTTCATTGCTTCTCTCTTCTTCGACATCCAAATCCATTATCATAAGAGCATTAGTCATTCAACAATCTAATAATAATCTAGACTACACATCTCCGGATACCAATAGTTACCATAAGTCTCTCTTATAGAAAGCTCAAACTTGGAGATGAATTTTTAAGCATTCATAGATTTTTAAGCATTCATGGATTCTCTACATGATTTGATCTGATCTCGCTCCATTTAAATGATGATTGTGCAATGAGGCGCTATGATGTATTGAAAGAAAAGAACGTACTCATCCTAATAATACCTTATCCTTCTTCATTGGGATTCGGGGAAAAGTGGATGGGCAATTCTTTGTGAACTCTTGTGATGAAAAAAACTCCATTACTTGCAAGTTCTTTTCTTTCAATTAGGTATGTCAATCGGGCTAGCCCGGTCCGGCCCGGCCCGAAGCTTTCAAAACCCGCATATATATGTTTGAGCCCGGCCCGGCCCAGCCCGTAAAAATTCCGAGCCTAGATTTTGAAGCCCTGCCCGGGGATTTTACGGGCTTCTTTGGGCTTTTCTTTCGAGAAAAATAAACCCTTCTAATTTATAATATCTCTTGAAAAAAACGAATCTATGTATAAAACGAATCAAACGAAACTTAAATAACAACTAAAGCCAATTTAGTTTTTAAAAAATTTAAAATAAAATAAATAATCCAAATAAATTGTTTAAACCCACACTAAATAAAATATAAAATCAGAACACTTATAGTAAGACACAATTAGAAAACTAGGTTTAGGGGTTTTAACTCTATTAAAATTTTTTTTAAACAAATCTCTTAATTCAACAATAATATTAACAAAAAAAAAAAGTTAAAATCTCTTTTTAAGGGCTTTTCGGACCAGTCCAAGCCCGGCCGGGCTAAGCCCTAAAAACTCTTTAGCCCAACGGGCTTAGCCCGAAAGGCCAGATTTTTATCTGGACATATATTTTTAAGCCCGAACCCGCTGTTTTTCAGGGCTGGACCGGGCCAGCCCGCGAGCTTTGACCCTAATTAACATGCCTACTTTCAATAAGGCAATTTTGTATGTTTACTTGTTTTACTAAATAACTTAAAATACGACCAAAAATATTTTTAGTTAGAAAAAAGTTATTTACATATTTTTGAATATATATTTAAAATTGTTTTTTTTTAAGTTAAGTTTTATTTTTAAGTCAATAGTGGTATTCTTGACTATAATATTATCATACAACTTGATTTTAACCTACGGTAAACCGCGAAATAATTTATTTTTTAAAGTTAGTATATATAAAATTTTGCAAATTGTATCTTCGTATAAAATATCAAAATTTTATAGTTTACAATTGTTATTAAGTAACAGTATACCACGAGTCCATGAGACAATTGTTAATAAACTGAAGATTTAACCCGTATTAAAGCGGCATGTTAATGATATTTTAAATTTTATAAATACTTATTCAAACCCGTCTGCCATATAAACTTGTTTCAAAATATAACTCGTCCCGTAATTTTATAACCCGTCCCGTATTTTATTTTCTAAAAGTATTGATTTTAAAATTTAATGATTATTTATTATATA